CATTTAATTATTTATTTATATCTATATAATATCTATTTAATATACTCTATGTGTATTAAATTCATTAGGCCTAGTTGAATATTGCAATGATAATGTGTGGTGATTACAAAACCCCACGGCACATCTGGATTGACATCATGGCACACCATTTGAGAACCACTGATCTAGTGGGCCGGATTGGCCCTTTGGCGGCCGGTTCTGGCCCACGGGCCGCATGTTTGACACCCATGGAAGAGGTGGGAAAAAAGGCCGTTCCTTCCTCTTTCCATGGAAAACAGGAAATATTGAGTACTGTGGTGTGATTATTGGAAACCAAAACTCAGAAAGCAAATCCAGTTAATACGACGTTTATGTATGTTTTATGAGTGTTTGTTTAAAGCGCTCGGAGCTTATAGCGCTGGAGCTGAGCAAATACGAGTCAGTCTGTGAAAGTGAAACTAAGTTAACTGCGTAAAACCACAGGACAAACCAACAGAATGGCCTCCAGTGCATCACAGTCTGAGGTGGACTGTACCTGCCCTGTGTGCTGTGATATATTCACGGATCCTGTGCTCTTGTTGTGCGGTCACAGCTTCTGTAAGGACTGTCTTCAGCAGTGGTGGAGAAAGAGTGGAGAGCAGACATGCCCGGTCTGTAAGGAAATATTTCCGATGGCTCAGCCTCCACGTAATCTGGCGCTGAGAAACCTGTCTGACACCTTGAGACGAAAGAGGAGTCAGAGAGCGAACTCAGGGTCTGAGGAGATGTGCAGTCTGCACGGTGAGAGGCTGAAGCTCTTCTGTCAGGATGATCAACAGCTCATCTGCCTGATTTGTAGGGATTCACAAAAACACAAGAAACACAACTTTGACCCCATCAACGAAGCAGCAGAAGCCTACAGGGTAAGAACATATGAATAGTTTAATAAAAACAACAGAGAAAGTTTTTGGCATTGGTGTTTTTCATGATTTTAGAAATAACTCTTAATATTGCACAACAGGATTTAACGCCTTTATTTGCAGGCTCAACTCCAGCTGAAGATCCTGCATTTAAAAACCAAACTGGGGTCGTTTAAAGCACAAAAACTCACCTGTGACAAAATGGCCGGCCACATCAAGGTAGGTCACACGCAAAACTGTTACTGAAGCAGAGAGCAACATGTGTTGTCTACTCTGAGTTTACAAAGAGATTCAAAGTCCAGCTGCATTTTTTCCCCCTAGATAAGCAAATGTCGACGATACAGTAACAGTCAACTTTTATGTCACGGTAAACCTCGAAATCGGTATATTGCTGCACCCCTAGATGCATTACTTTGGAGCTCAGTGCATGACGTGATTGGCTAGTTTGCGTTACATCCAGTGCTGTAACAGTAATAATACTACTTTTCCATTAACAAGTAGTGGACCTAATAAAATTTCAGTGATAATATCACAGTAACTGCAAAAACCAAACAACCTGTTACAACACTACTTTTGTTATCACATCACTGCTGACTTTAAATACAGCATCACATCAGTGGAATCATTTTCAGAATCATCATGCTGCACATGCACATCACAAAGCAGCGAGCTAGTTGGAATCATTCCCATCACCTTGATTTTGTCAGGAGGAGAGATGACAAGAGAAAAGTTGCTGCAGGTAGTTGGACTAAAACTCTTTACACTGCAGAAAACATGTCCGGTCTGAAACACCTCGGCTACTACGACTGACAGCACGAAAACGTAAAGCTTCAGGAAATAAACCCCACCAAAGGTGAGCCCTCTGCGGCTGTTGACATCGGCTGTATCCCTACCAGTGGCGATTGCTCTAAGACTGCAAGGGAAGCTCAGCTTCCCCTAAAATGTCAAAAAATAAGTGGTCCAATATGTACTGTTGTGTTTACATTTCATTGACTAAATATGCGCTAGAACGCGTTCAACTTTTGTTCAGAATCAGCTACTTATCACAGGTCACTGACACGACTTTCTTCTCATTCATTCCTGTAGCGTCACAGTGCATTAAACAGTGGAAGCTCAGCGTCCAAAGACTTCACTGGGGAAGCATAGAGTGGGTTGTTCCACTGCAG